GCGGCCCTGGGAAAGCCCAGTACCAGCACTTCCACCCTCCCCTGGACTTGCCTCTGCCAGGAGAACTATGAGCCACTGCAGCCTCCAGTCTCAGTCCATTCATCTGTAAAATGGAGACAATCATACCTGCCTCTGGGGGTGGCTGAGAAGATCGAATGACATCAGGCACATAAAGTGCTTTGTACAATGTCTGGCACCCGATAAGAGCTGATAACTGTAGATGGGTTTTGTTTGGTTTTTTAAAGTCTTTTTCCCTGCAAACACAGTGCCCGAGGCAATCGGCAGGCAGGAGTCCTGGGGGAAGAGCAGAGAAAGAAGCTGCTTCCCCGCACTCTCCCCTGCAAGGTTCCCAGAAAGTGGCCCCAGACTGCAGGGCATTGCTGTTCTCAGAGCCTTCATGCGGCCACTTCTGGAGGCAGGGACCAGCGGCTTTCCTCAGGGCATTCGCACTCTAATACAGGCAAGGGAGGCTGGTTTACATTTAGGGAGGACCCACCCTGTGCCAGGCACCAGCTATGCAAAGCTCCAAATGACCTGGTTCTTCCTTCCAGCTTGCTCAGGATCTAGCAGCAGAGACTGACACAAACCCACAATTACAAAGCGGGATGGTGGTTTATATTCTTATTGTAAAATTTCAAACACACACTCAGCAATTTCATCAATTCTCAAGATTTTTGTCACATTTGCTGGGAAGGGTTGTTTTTTTACTTCTGTGTTTTTTACTTTTTATTATGGAGATTTTGAAACACATACAAACCCTCAATTTCCCACTATCCTTGTTTTCCTTTCTTTTCTTTTCTTTTTTTTTTTTTTTTGATTTATTCACGAGAGACACAGAGAGAGGAAGAGACGCAGACAGAGGGAGAAGCAGGCTCCCCGTGGGGACCCCAATGAGGGACTGATCCCAGGACCCCGGGATCCTGACCTGAGCCAGAGGCAGATGTCTCCACACACTGTCCTTGTTTTCGTCCATCTCCACCCACCCCCTCTGTTCCCACAATTCTTTTTTTCCAGAGTTTCCTTAAAGGCAAATTCTGGACATAAGTGCCAATCCACCTGTAAACACATCAGATTGAGTCTGGACATACAATGACTTTTTACTTTTCTTTTTTAAGTAATCTCTACCCCCCAGTGTGAGACTCAAACTCACAACCGGAGATCAAGAGTCACATGCTCTACTGATTGAGCCAGCTGGGCATCCCAACAGATAAGTATTTTCAAAAGGGCCCCTGGGTGGTTATGCATCTGACTCTTGATTTCAGCTCAAGTCATGGTCTCAGGGTGGTGGGATTAAGCCCTGTGTTCCCTGCTCAGTGGGGAGTCTGCTTCTCCTTTTTTTTTTTTTTTAAAGATTCATTCATTCATTCATTCATTCCTGAGAAAGGCAGAGACACAGTTAGAGGGAGAAGCAGGCTCCATGCAGAGCCCGATGTGGGACTCGGTCCCTGAACTCCAGAATCACACCCTGGGCCGAAGGCAGATGCTCAACCACTGAGCCACCCAGGTGTCCCATGTTTCTCCCTCTCCCTCTGCCCCTCTCCCCTGCTCACACTCTCCCTCTCTAAAATAAATTTTAAGGGCAGCCCCGGTGGCGCAGCGGTTTGGCGCCGCCTGCAGCCCGGGGTGTGATCCTGGAGACCCTGGATGAGTCCCACATCGGGCTCCCTGCATGGAGTCTGCTTCTCCCTCTGCCTGTGTCTCTGCCTCTCTTTGTGTCTCTCATGAATAAATAAATAAAATCTTTAAAAATAAAAAATAAAATAAATTTTAAGATCTTAAAAAAAGGCATAACCAAAAAAATAAAACAAAATAAATTTGAAAAAAAAAAAGCATAACCACTCTACCATTATCACACCCAACAAGATTAAGAGTAACTCCTTTATACCATCTATACCCAGTCCATTCACTTTTGCTAGAAAGCATGTTGGTTGAAGTTGCAGGTGCTGTTTTAGAGGAGATTGCTGACTGAGTGCCAGGGAGAGAGCTAGGGGCTGGTCACACTTGCCTCCACACCATTAAGGCTGGGCCCGCGTAGACTGGGAGCTCTCGTACCCACGTGGAGCCTGGAGGAAAACTAATCACTGTCACACAGTAGGCAGTATGAACCCAACACGAACCCAGAGAAGGATCTCCTGGAAGGAAGTGGCTTCCTCAGCTCGGGGCGGCTGCTATTCTCTCTACTCCGGGAGTGGCAGGAGTTGGCTGGGAGTGAGCCCACTGTGTCACCCCCAGGCCCAGCCAGTGAACTCCTCGTGCCCAGGGCTGAGGTGTATCTTCCAGAGCTACTCATCCACGGGCCTGGTTCAGCGTTCTCTCTTCAACTTGCAAATCTATGTGGTCCTGGCACTATTCTGGACTGTCAACTGGGTACTGGCCCTGGGCCAGTGTGTCCTGGCTGGGGCCTTTGCCTCCTTCTACTGGGCTTTCCAGAAGCCCCAGGACATTCCCACCTTCCCCCTGAGCTCTGCCTTCATCCGTACACTCCGGTAAGGACAGGGCAGGGGGGCTGGGAATGGGGAGCCTGGGAGCCTCAGGGGTCCTGGAGCCGTCTCTGCCCACGCACCCCGCCCCCCAACCCTCCTGCAGCTACCACACTGGGTCGCTGGCCTTTGGAGCTCTCATCCTGACCCTCGTGCAGATGGCCCGAGTCATTCTGGAGTACATTGACAACAAACTGAGAGGTGAGCAGCTGGCCCCTCAGGGAGGGGCTGTCAGGGGCCAGTGACCAAACATAAGCTCCCCCTTTACTCCCAGGATCCCAGAACCCTATGGCCCGCTGCATCATGTGCTGCTTTAAGTGCTGCCTCTGGTGTCTGGAGAAGTTTATCAAGTTCCTAAACCGAAATGCCTACATCATGGTGAGCCCCACTGCACAAGCAGCCCCTTGTTCTGGGGTCCCCTGGCCCAGGCCCCTGCCCTGGCCCAGGTAAGCTCCACACAGGTAATTCTGACTTTTCAACCTCACTCAGATCGCCGTCTACGGGAAGAATTTCTGTGTCTCCGCCAAAAATGCCTTCATGCTGCTCATGCGGAACGTTGTCAGGTTGAGCTATCCTCCACCCCCCTGATCGCCCACCCAAGGCCAGCTTCATGGGCATGCTGTGCTCTGAAGGGCCTCAAGCATGGCTTGTTGCTCTGCTGCCTCCATCTTGAAGTGTGAACCATTTTCATTTTGCATCTGTCACAGCAGCTGATATCGCCAATCCAGTTCCTGGCCCTGCCAGGCCCCTCATGCCTGACCTACCTCTACTTCCCATACAGGGTGGTTGTGCTGGATAAAGTTACAGACTTGTTGCTGCTCTTCGGGAAGCTGCTGGTGGTTGGAGGTGTTGGTAAGGGCCAGGGCTGGGAGTTACGGGGACAGAGGGCAGAGGCACAAGGCAGTGGAAGAGGTGACCACAGAGTAGTGATGACACTGACCTTCACGCTTCTCCCACAGGGGTCCTGTCCTTTTTTTTTTTCACCGGTCGCATCCAGGGGCTGGGTAGACACTTTGAAAACCCCTCCCTCAACTATTACTGGCTGCCCATCATGGTGAGTGACTCCCTGGCTCTGCCTCACAAGCCAACCCCAGAAAGGAACTCTAACACGCCCTGTATCTTCCAGGTCTCCATCCTGGGGGCCTATGTCATCGCCAGCGGCTTCTTCAGTGTTTTTGGCATGTGTGTGGACACACTCTTCCTCTGTTTCTGTGAGTGAACTCCCTACCACTTCCCCCACATTTCAAGGTACCAGATTGTTTAGGGGTTTTTGGGAGTTAAAGGAGCCAAAGTCAGAGGAAGCCTCCTCTGCCATCCTCAAACCAGGGATTTACAGTAGAAAGGAGGAAATGAGGTGCCAGACTGGCAGGATCTCCCAAGAAAGAGCATTTCAGCGCAAAGCCCTCTGGGATCTTTCCCTAGAAAACAGAAGGTACAAGTTAGCCACAAGAGCCTTCCCAGCAGGTGGCTGTAGTGAGTGGGGATTGTCTCACCCTCATATGACCTCGAACAATCCCGGGTTAATCCCCACACGTCAATTTATGTGGGGATTCTTTTTTCTTTCTTTTTTTTTTTTGATAAATATAGTACAATGTTGCACACGTATTTTCTTTTCCATAGGATTTTCTTAACATTTTCTCTTCCCTAGCTCATTTTATTGTAAGAATACAGTAACACATAATATGTGTTAATTTGGGAGGGATCAAAAGCGACAGGCGGACTGTTGAATGCTGGGGGTCAGCTCCCCTAGTCGCTGTGTCCCTCAAGGGTCAGTTCTACACGCATGTAGGGTTTAGTATGCGCTGCAGTCGGCAGTAGGCGGTCGGCATGCAGTTTCCATTAAGCCCTATCACGCCACGAAATACTGGCCTCAGTTTACCGAGGAGACACTGAGGTTGCGCAGCCTGCCCAGGGGGTGCCAGGCGCCTGCCCCGCCCCCCCCCCCCGCCCCCGGGTCCGCTCTAACGGTCCTGTTGCCGCTCAGTGGAAGACCTGGAGAGGAACGACGGCTCGGCGGACCGGCCCTACTACATGTCCAAAACCCTTCTCAAGATCCTAAGCAAGAAGAACGAGGCCCTCCCGGGGCACAAGAAGAGGAAGAAGTGAGAGACGCGCCCCGACCCAGGGCAGCACCCCTCCTGCACCGCCTCCGAGCCGCACCCCGCCCTCTAGATTTCGATCTCGTAGTTCTAAGAAAATTATTAAAGGTGGATATTTTGTTTTCTCAAAAACCCGAGCCCTTTTATTTTCTCCAATGCGACTTGCAGCTTTTTTCCGCGGCCTGGCTCCTAAGGGAGGCCCCGCCCCATAGAACACCCCAGGGGGCGCCGGCCCTTGGTCCCACCCAGTCAGCTTCCAGTCTGGTCCTGGCTCCGGGCTTCGGAAGGAACCAATTGGAAGGTCCCGCTCTAGGGCGGAAGGACCACGTGAGCAGTCTGAGCGGGTAGGGCCAATCAGAGTCGCGGAAGTGGGGCCGCGGGCTGGCCTCGGGGCTGAGGGGCGCGGGGCGGGGCGGCAGCGGGCGTGCCGAGGGCCTGGTCAGCTGACCCGCTGCAGCCCCAGTCTAGCCGCGGGCGCCCGAGTCCCGGCGGCCAAGGACCGGGCGATGGCGGGTCGGCCCGGCGCAGCGCTCCCGGGCAGACCCGGGGGCCCGCGGATGCCGAGGCGCTGGGGCGGCTGGCGGGTTCGGGCACTCGCCGCGACCTTCCTGCTGCTGTGGCCGCTGGCCGGGTTGGGGGCTGGGATAAAGAACGACTTCAGTCTGGTGAGTGGCCGCGCATGTGTCCCCGCCCCCGACCCACGCGGGTCGTTCAGGCGCAGGACCCCCGGGACAGCGTCCCCCGAGTCCCCTCTCCCGAGGGACCCTCCCGCCCTCAGACCCCGCGCCGCGTCCTCCGGCCTTCGTGCCCCTGACATCCGAGCCCCCTCCGCTGGAGCTCCTTCCCCTTCTGTGGGCCGCCAGCCCCCGCTGCCCAAAGGCGCCTTCTCCCCTCGTCGCTCTCCCCGCTCGAGCCCCCAGCTTGGCAGCGAACTCTCCTCCAGTGCCCGTTCCTTATTCTGGGTGCCCCGCACCCCCGCCCTGAGCCCCCACAGGGAGCTCAGGAGTTTCCCAGGGAAACTCCGAACCACGATTACTTTTCCTAAAGCCCGAAGTCTCCGGTCTCGCTTGTCCGCCGACCCTTCCTTCCTTCCTCCTCCGTTGGCAGGTTCAGCCGCTGGTCACCATGGAGCAGCTGCTGTGGGTGAGCGGCAGGCAGATCGGTAACGTGCACACCTTCCGAATCCCGCTCATTACGGCCACTCCTCGGGGTACTCTCCTTGCCTTCGCTGAGGCGAGGAAAATGTCCACGTCGGATGAAGGGGCCAAGTTCATCGCTCTCCGGAGATCCACTGACGAGGGTATAAGGACAACTGGGTGGCAGTGGCTGATGTTAGGTCGTGTGAGTGGGGAGCTTGATCTGCCTGAGGGCCCTGAGGATGGTACAGAACCACTGGGAGGGCTGGAGGCCTGGTCCTTGAGGGGCAGAGGGGACTTAAGGAGGCAAGTAATTGGGATCCCTGGGTGGCTCAGCGGTTTAGCGCCTGCCTTTGGCCTAGTGCCCGATCCTGGAGTCTCGGATCGAGTCCCGCATCAGGCTTCTGGCAATGGAGCCTGCTTCTCCTTCCTCCTGGGTCTCTGCGCCTCTCTCTCTCTCTGTCTATAATCAATCAATCAATCTTTTAAAAAAAGGAGGCAAGTAATCTAGAAATTGTGATCACCTAGGAGTTGAATACTTTTTTTTTTTGAACACTTGTTATATACTAACATGATATAGTTCAAGATTCCATGACTACAGTTGTGAATAAGGCAGACCAAAAACTCCCTGCCCTTGTGGGGCTTATATTGTCTGTGGGGAGACAGATAGTAAACATAATAGGTAAATTTGGTTTTTGTGTTGGAAAGTGATCAATATAACAGAAACAAAACAGGGTGCTGGAGATTGGCTGCAACTTTAAATAGATGACTTTTGAGTCAAGGAGGTGAGAATAACCCTGAGGAACAATGTAGCAGGCAGATGTCACAAGCCTGTGCAGGTCCTCCAAGAGAGAAGTATTTGAGGAATGAGAAAGAGGCTGGGGACACAATGGAGAGAGAAAGAGCAGCATAGGTAAGGTCAGAGAGGTCAGGTGGGGCAGGTCTGGTAGGGCCTTGAGGCCACTCTAAGGCCTTGGGTCCCTAGCAAGAGGTGGAAATTAACAAAGAGTCGTTATACAGGGCACCTTTGGAGCACTCACCCTGGATTTCTTCTCTTTTTTTATTCAGGCAGCACGTGGTCTCCAACAGCCTTCATCGTAAATGATGGGGAGACCCCAGATGGGCTGAACCTTGGGGCAGTGGTGAGCGATATGGAGACAGGAGTGGTATTCCTTTTCTATTCCCTCTGTGCTCACAAGGCTGGCTGCCAGGTGGCCTCCACCATGTTGGTGTGGAGCAAAGATGATGGTGTTTCCTGGAGCCCACCTCGGAATCTCTCCTTGGATATCGGCACTGAGATGTTTGCCCCTGGACCAGGCTCTGGCATTCAGGTCTCTGTCCTAAGAAGGGTGGAGGAGGCTGCCTTTTGGAGAGTCTGGGAGATGCCCCTAGTTGGACTTCTTCCCAGGGAGAAGGTCTTGTGAGGTCAGGTTCTTGCTTAGATGGGATCCCTTGGAAGAAAGGGACATCCTGGGAGGATGCCAAGGGAAGATGGAATGTTGCCCTTGCCTTCCCATTGGGGGGTTGTCAATAGGGCCATGCTGTTCCTTGTGGCGCCTGTGCAGGCTGGAAAAAGGCACCCCTTCCTCTGAGCAGACACAAGCCTGTGCCAAGGGGCACAGCTGGGTGAGCTTGGCTAAGCTTCCATGCACCCATGTGGCTGGACCCCTTGTCTTGTGCACAGCCTATCCAGTGAACACCCTGCATGTCCTGAAGGAGCTTATTCTGCGCTTAGGGAGCACTTTCACGAATAAGCTCCTTCATTCAGGCAGTTGGGGGTTTGTGGGATCTTCTTGGAGCCAGGACAGGACTGAAGGGAGCCAGATGTGTTCTCACACTTAGGAGGTGACAGGCTCCCCTGCCCTGCCCACGAACCCCTGCTGCATCTCCCTCAGTGACACCCAGCTTCCTTCCCCACAGAAGCGGCGCGATCCGCGGAAGGGCCGCCTCATCGTGTGTGGCCATGGGACGCTGGAGCGGGATGGGGTCTTCTGCCTCCTCAGTGATGACCATGGCGCCTCCTGGCGGTATGGTAGCGGCGTCAGCGGCATCCCGTATGGCCAGCCCAAGCGGGAGAACGATTTCAACCCTGACGAGTGCCAGGTCAGGAGCCCAGGGCCGCCCCAACCCAGTCCCCGCGCCCCGCCCCCCAGGCACCATCGCACCCCTGGACCCAGGATCGGGCTGCCCACCCTGCGCCGTCCAGCCTGCGTCCTCAGGGGTGGGGTCCTTGGCGCTGCCCCTGTCTGGGACCTCCTAAAGCCTTGTTCTCTCTCCTTAGCCCTATGAGCTCCCAGATGGCTCAGTCATCATCAACGCCCGCAACCAGAACAACTACCACTGCCACTGCCGAATAGTCCTCCGCAGCTACGATGCCTGTGACACGATCCGGCTGCGAGATGTGACCTTTGACCCTGAGCTGGTAGATCCTGTGGTGGCTGCTGGGGCTGTAGCCACCAGCTCTGGCCTTGTCTTCTTCTCCAATCCAGCCCACCCAGAATTCCGTGAGTGTCGGCAGGTGGGGAGGGTGGAGGTGGGGTGTGAGGCCCTGTGGTCTGGAGCAGGCCTGGCCAGAACCCCTCCCTCCCCAATTCTCCACCCTCTGCAGGAGTGAACCTGACCCTGCGCTGGAGCTTCAGTAATGGTACCTCGTGGCGGAAGGAGACAGTCCAGCTGTGGCCAGGCCCCAGTGGCTACTCCTCACTGGCTGCCCTGGAGGGCAGTGTGGGCGGGAAGGACCAGGCCCCCCAGCTCTACGTCCTGTATGAGAAAGGCCGGAACCAGTACACAGAGAGCATTTCCCTGGCCAAAGTCAGTGTCTATGGCACACTCTGAGCTGTACGCCTGCCACAGAATTGGGAGGCCTCGGACATTGTCCTCAGGACCCTGGGCCCATGGAGGATCTGCTAGAGATCCCTAAAAGACAGTTCCATCTTCCTTGAGACTCTAGCCTCTTGCACAGCCAGTTTCTCTTTCACTCTGTTAGGACTGCAACTCTGGCTTCCTGCACACAGGAAGTCCTGCCCTCACTCTAGAGTACTTCCCTGCACATCCTTGCTGGCTCTGGCCCCCTACCCCTTCTGCCTTCCTGGGGTGATGATTGTTCCTTTGTTTAGGCAGGGCTAGGCAGGCCTGTAGAATTGAATAAATGTGAACTCAGGGAGTTGGGGAAGGCTGAGCTTCCTCTCCAGGGTAGCTATGGAGCGGGTTGGTGAAAGTCCTGGAAGGGCAATATTTGGATTCAGGGTAAAGAACTAGGTGCACCACCCACCTTGACTATTTATAAATCGAAATATTTGTAACTTAAACATTTTTAATGAAGGAGGAGGAGCATTTGTACAGTCTGTGTGATTGTGTTAATGTGTATCTTTGTTCTGCGTGTGTACTTCTAAGTGGCCAGGGAAGAGTTTTGAGGAAGAAGCTAATGCATTTATTGCTCATGTAGCAAACTGAATCCTCCTTTCCCTTTTACTCTCTTCTTTATCACAGAAAAACAGATTCAATTTCATAGATGTAATGAGTAGCAGGGGGAGCCCCAAGGGATATTTAAAAATCTGCCCTGTTTTGTATTGCTGAGATGGAGTCCTCTGTGATACAGGGCACAGGTGCGTGAAATGCACATGGGAAGCCTCTCCCAGGCCAACATGGCAGAAAAATAAGCGTATGTGAGCAAATAGCACTATCCTAAGACAGATGCTATGAAGAGGATGGGCAGCCTACAGATGAGTGGGAAAGCCGTAGCTTTCCTGTTTGGAAAGAAAATACAAGGCCTAGATAAGGTGGTAAGAGTGGTAAAGATTGAGGAGTAAGGCCCATATCCACTTACAGTTAGAGGTTTATTTTACTTTTAACGTGCTTCTCTAAGAAATGTTAGGATAATTCATTCTGTCAGAAAAAAATGGAATAATCTCACTGTATGTGAGGATATGGTGCAATTATGTTATATTTGATTCAGAATTTGTGATCAATAATGTAATACTTCAATTTTTTTCACTTACAGACATTTTAAAAAGCACAAAGAGAAAATAGTTTAATGAAACCCATATACACCCCACGTGTCCAATATTTGCTTCTTCTGATTCTTTTTTCATTTCCTTTCCTTGGTTGAAATATTTTGTTAAGGTTTTTTTAAAAATGTCTGGATACTCAGACTTTTTTTTTTTTAGGATTTAATTTATTCATGAGACACAGAGGCAGAGACACAGGCAGAAGGAGAAGCAGGCTCCACGCAGGGAGCCCAATGTGAGACTTGATCCCAGGACTCCAGGATCACACCCTGAGCTGAAGGCAGGTGCTGAACTGCTGAGCCACCCAGGCGTGCCTCACCCCTACATTCTTAAATATGCATCTCGTTCTTTAAAATGGAACATTTTATTTTATAACCATAATGCTATTGCCCACCCGAAACATTTAACAACTCTGGTATCATCTAATATCCAGTCAATGGGCAAATTTCATCGAATGTCTCAATATCTTGCTTATAGTTGTTTTTTTTTTAATATTTTATTTATTTATTCATGAGACACAGAGGGGGGGAGCACAGACACAGGCAGAGGGAGAAGCAGGCTCCATGCAGGAAGCCCGACGTGGGACTCGATCCAGGGTCTCCAGGATCACACCCTGGGCTAAAGGCGGCACTAAACCGCTGAGCCACCTGGGCTGCCCCTTATAGTTGTTTTGTTCAAATCAGGATCCAAAGAAAACCTACATTACATTTTGATGGTGATTCTTATGTCTAGGTAAATCCACAGTCTCACTTCCTCTCTTTCTGTTTCTTGATACCATCTATGCAGAAATAGGGGCATCTTCTTCCTCCATCCTTTGCATTTCCAGTTATCAAACCTGAAATTCCATTTGGAGGCAGTGGGGGGGGGGGGCAACAGGAGGATAAGATCCCTTCCCAGATAGTATGTGCTTTCTGCTGTGGGCTCCCCCAACCCAGGGGGCAATTCCTGTCTGCTGGTCCCTCTCTGAGTAAAGCTGAGAGTGAACAGTGGGTTCAGGTGGCCATAGCCTGACTGTTCCTTTGTAAGGTACCCCCATCAACCTTCCAGCTGACAGTTTCACCCACACACAGATGGGTTTTGTCTGAATCAGTTACTTTAAGCAGTTGTAAAATATTAATTTTTAAATTCTATTATTTCTATCCCATTTGTTACCTGGAATTCTTCAGTAAAAAAGCTTTCCCTCATCAGAGCTTTTGAGTTACTCCAAAGTGTGGTTTGTAGGAAAAGGCAGGGTAAATGCTTAATTTGCCACCTCATACCTACCTGTACTCAGACTAAACTGGTTGATGCACTACTCTACCTTGGCCAGTAAAGCACACTGTTCCCAACGATGCAAGGGACCCTTGCAGAGGAAGAATCTGGCCAGCAGGAGGCAAGGGGACATCTGAGGAAAGAAACCCAGGGGGATCCCTGAGTGGCTCAGCGGTTTAGCACCTGCCTTAGGCCCCGGGCGTGGTCTTGGGGTCCCGGGATCGAGTCCCGCATCAGGCTCCCTGTGTGGAGCCTGCTTTTCCCTCTGCCTGTGTCTCTGCCCCCCCCCCCCCCGTGTGTGTGTGTGTCTCTCTCATGAATAAATAAATAAAATATTTTTTTAAAAAAGAAAGAAACCCAGGCAGTGGGGTTGGGGGTGTGTGTGCCTGATTTTCTAATGGAGATCATGAAATAGGTATGAGGCAGGAGGAATGGAGCAGGTGGCATCTGCAGACCCAGGACATCTGTCGAATACCACTAAAAATTGCACATCTTGCTAACAGTGTCATTAGGAATACTGGAGGAGGGGTCGCCTGGGTGGGCTCAGTCAGATAGGACTCTGACTCTTCATTTTAGCTCAGGTCTTGACCTCAGGGTCATGGGTTCAAGCCCAATGTGGAACATACACACACACACACACACACACACGAAAATACAATACCTGGGATGCCTGGATGACTCAGCGGTTAAGTGCCTGCCTTTGGCTCAGGGCATGATCCAGGAATCCCGGGATCAAGTCCCACATCCAGCTCCTTGCATGGAGCCTGCTTCTCCCCCTGCCTGTGTCTCTGCCTCTCTTTTTCTCTCTGTGTGTGTCTCTCATGAATAAATAAATCTTTTAAAAAATGCAATACTGGAGGAAAGAGAGGAAATGATACCATGAATGTCTGACTCATGAGCTACTGTGTCAGAGGTGGCAGAAGGCTTGTGAAGAGTGACCTTGTTTCTTCTTAGCCACAAACCCTCAGCTGAGAGGATCCTCCCCAGGAGGGCATGGGGCAGAGCCCTGGGCCCCATCCCAGACCTGCAGATTGGGAGAGAGGAAAAGATAAACCCTAGTGGGGGGAGAGGGAGAGGGGGAGGGAGGGAGAGAGAACCTCCAGCAGACTCTCCTCTGGGTGAGGAGCCTGATGGCTGCTTAGTCTCACAACCCTGAGATCATGACTTGAGAGGAAACCAAGAGTTGGCTGCTGAACCATTCAAAGAACGGAGCCACGCAGGTGCCCCAAGGGACTTTACACTTTAATGGGAACTGCTGGAGAGGCTGAATGATGCTGGGGTCTTTGGACTGCACTTTGGGAAACTGTCTTAGACATTTAGCCTAGACTTAGGAAGAATTGACTTCGCAACAGTGTAGAAAAGATCTCAAAAGAGAAACTTTCAGTAGAAAGAATTGATGTTTAAAGAAACCAGTGCTGCCCATTTACCCCAGCACCCTGAATGCCCACCACAACAGCTGGCACATAGTGGGTGCCTCATCCAGGAGGCAAGACAAATCCAGGATGGGTAAGAAGCTAGGCCAGCGGCTCTCAAGGTGAGGACCCAGATGGACACAGGGGGTCCCTTTTAATGTAAAGGAGGAGTTGGAAGGATGTCTGGAAGCTGTGAGAGAAAGGTATAATGTTTTCCTGTACAAGTGGCACAGAGCCGGCAGCCCATTGAGAGCCTCCAGGGCAAGCAGCCACATTCTAGCACGCAGCCGGGCCCCTAGCACAGGCCCCTCCCCTTCATCCACCCAGTCCCTCCCCAGTCCCTTGGTTCGGAATTGAACCTACTCAGCTCTCCCTGTCCTCAGGCTGCCCTTAAAGGGTGGGAAAAGATCATAAGGGGCAGCCTGGGTGACTCAGCGGTTTGGCGCCACCTGCAGCCCAGAACGTGATCCTGGAGACCCGGGATCAAGTCCCATGTTTGGCTCCCAGCATGGAGCCTGCTTCTCCCTCTGCCTGTGTCTCTGCCTCTCCCTCTCTCCCCCCCCCCATGAATAAATAAATAAAATCTTAAAAAAAAAAAAAAGGGATCCCTGGGTGGCGCAGTGGTTTGGCGCCTGCCTTTGGCCCAGGGCGCGATCCTGGAGATCCGGGATCGAGTCCCACATCGGGCTCCCGGTGCATGGAGCCTGCTTCTCCCTCTCCCTATGTCTCTGCCTCTCTCTCTCTCTCTGTGTGACTATCATAAATAAATAAAAAATTTTAAAAAAAGGAAAAGATCATAGAGATTGAGAAGCAAATATCAGCCACCAGGTACCCTTTTTCACTAGTCAATCCTCACAACCAGAAGTTGCTACCAAGAAGGAGCAGGAGGAGGTCAATCGATTCTGCCCAAAGAAAGTTTAGGAGAGAAGATCTAAGACAAAAGATTGCGCTTCTTTTTGAGCAAACAAACCTGACCCAAATTACAATGAAAGAGTACATTTCCCTTTTATAATATTATTTTTAAAAAAATATTTTATTCATTTATTCATGAGAGACACACAGACAGAGGCAGAAACATAGGCAGAGGGAGAAGCAGGTTCCCCGGTGTGGGGACTCGATCCCAGGACCCTGGGATCATGACCTGAGCCAAAGGCAGACGCTCAACCCCTGAGCAACCCAGGTGGCCCCTTTCCTAATACTCTGGGTAGAATTTTTTTTAATTTAATTTAATTTTATTTATGATAGGCACACAGTAAGAGAGAGAGAGAGAGGCAGAGACATAGGCAGAGGGAGAAGCAGGCTCCATGCACCAGGAGCCCGACGTGGGATTGATCCCGGGTCTCCAGGATCGCGCCCTGGGCCAAAGGCAGGCGCCAAACCGCTGCGCCACCCAGGGATCCTGGGTAGAATATTCTTAAGAACACATTTTCAGTGTAAGGCTTAGCTGGCAGAAAAGTAGGAGAAATCTTGAAAAACCATGAATAACAGAAAGCAAGAATCCAGAAAATCAAGTGGGCTTGGAGGCCCTGCTTGCCCTGGGGATATCAGCCGATGCTTAGTGCTGAAATCAGGGTTTCAGCGCATCTCAGATCTGTCATCAGGATATAAAGCCAGAGGCCTGAGAAGGGCTGAAGATTAAACAAGAAAGTTCTTCCTGTCCCCTTTCCTTACCCT